CTGATGATGGAGGCAGTATGACCTCTGAAACGTTGGTTAACATCGACCAGACTACACAGCGCAACAACCCAGAAGACAGAAATCTTCATACTCACCGCTGTGAAAACCTCAATTCATACGTCAATATTGTTCCTTGTTTTGTGACGCCGTGTATACGCGGGGGTAGGTACCAACGTTCCTCCGAAACGTCGGTACCCACACTAAAATCTGCAGCATATATTAGTTCTACGTGTCTCATCTCCTACTTATTCGCCCTCTTTTCAATACATTTATTCCAATGGCTTTACAAGTTGCTTAGAATAAAATGCTTCTGTTATCCCGGATACCTTAAGTGATCTGCTCGACCTCAAAGCATGTTACAGACAACGATCTCCTGGAACGCGTATGACCGACACTCGTCCTCCGTTATTGAATCCTATCACTCCTTCGTAAACCTGTCTTCGACCCTCACATCACACGTTGAACCACACATTTCGGCAATTATCCCACTCTCTCGTCCACAGAAATCGATTCCCGAACCGGTTCTTATGTATTCGATCAAGGGGTTAAACGTATTGCAGTATCATCACTACTCAAAAGCCAATGGAAACCGCCTAAAAGCATATCTACGTTTACCTTTGCATTTTGATCTCACCCTATGTATTAAGCACCTCTCAGAAAGGGAGATCTTGAATATACAGAACTTTAAGATACAAAAGTTAACATCAGACGATTACATCTTCATAGAATTCACCTCAGGTACAGAACTTACATGTCATTTGAATTCCTGAAATGTCTTCAACAGAGTTATCAGAAGTTCCAGACAGAATTACTTCACTCCCGTGCTTTAATGTTAGATCTATCTCGGGGTTTGCCATAATACCTCCTTTACAAGACTTCTCGACAAAGGTTCCCACCAAGGCACAGCTGAAACCTCTCATTGTACACAACTGTACTCGCCCCAATGACTAGTCATCAGATATTACAGTTTTCACAAAAAATGCATTAAAATTAGTTGCATTCCACATAAAATATAAGATGTTGTCCTTCAAGTCATGCACAGAAAAAGTGAGAAGGATTTAAGACATACGAGGTGCGATCGGAAAGTTTCTAGACTGCGCGTATAAAAACCCGTACACTTATCTCAGGTATTAAATTCATCCATCACCCTCGAAGTAGTTCCCCTGGGAGTGAACACAACGATCCCAGCGCCGCTGCCAAGTCTCGAAGCATCCCTGGAAATCTTTCTTTGTCAGCCTGTCAAGCACCATCTGCGATTCTGCCTGAATCTCTTCTATCGTCTCAAATCTCCTTCCCTTTAGCTGAATTTCATCTTTGGGAAGAGGAAGAAGTCACACAGAGCTTAGAAAGGAAGTTGGGGTCGGATCTTGCAAGATCTTTGAGCTCCTGACAAACGAGAAGTCAAGGCGATTCTGCTTCTGGTCCTCAGACAGGAACCTTGGCACAAACTTGGCTGCGATGCGTCGCATGTGGAGTTCTTCCTTTAGAATCAGCTGACAGGCCCCATAGCCTATCCCAACAATGTCGCACAAGTCGTTGATGGTACGACGTCGATCTTCGTAACATTTTCGGGCGTTGTGCTCGAAGATGGTCGTCCAGAACGCTCGTCATCATCGACGTCGATGGTGATGGATGAATTTAATACCTGAGATAAGTGTACGGGTTTTTATACGCGCAGTCTTGAAACTTTCCGATCGCACCTCGTATATGTTTCGCTTATTCTGGAGATGCTTGCTTGAAAATTAGCAACGGACGTGTACAATTAACCGGATAATCTATAGGTTTTAATAATTAATCATGTAAGTTTATTCTGACAGACATCTATGTACTTCAATGTGGAACCAATGAAAGGAATTATTTTGAAACTGATTAAAATTATGTAATTAGAGAGTTCATCACGTCTTTGCACTTTATAATTTCTTGTCATCAATAAGAATAAAGTGGACAATATCTGGTCCCGTTTTACACTAGAGTCAATCAGTTCAGAGGTCTTAAATGTTACGTGGATAAAGGTATTCAATCACCTTTTGTTAAGGTTATATTTTTTGTATAATAAAAATCATGGCGGCAGAGCGAAGTCTAGACTCCTACCTGGCTTTCAGTTTGATGATTACAAATGAACCAAATGAATCACTTGAACTACTCTTATGAAACAAAGTACTGAGACATGTCGAAACATACAGTAAAGTAAGCGACCATTAGTTATTGTCACGTCTCTTTGTTTCACTGAAAGGTCTAAAATCTTACCTGGTAGAAGTAGAAGGAGTTGATCTCAGACTCGTTCTGAAACGTCTGGTTCAAGTTCCACGCTGCTGTACTGTCCTCCATGATTAGCTTGAAGATTCCCGCCCTCTGTAATGCCGTACGGATATTCCACTCGGCCTTCGGGCGGTGTCGACAGAGAAAGATTTCACGGAGCGAATTTCATTGTTTGAAAATAGTTCGCTTTTGTGACGTCTAAATGAACTCGTGCAACTTCCCGCAGGATAAATCTTCTGTCCTCTAAGCTCCGTTGAAAATATTATTTTTGTAGACAAGATTTCGGACTTCGTGACGAATAACTGAAAAAGAATAAAATATATGTCATTATTTAAGTTAAATTAAACTGAAATTGAAATCTAAAAGTCCTTGACGATTGTGATGAGTCATTTGAATAAGGGATTAGCTCTATCTAGTGGGTCCAACTGAGTAGAGTCCCTTCTCCGAAACGTCGTTTCACGTTTTATATTTTATTTACTAGACGATGGATAATATCCGAAAAAAATTTTATCCAAATAAAATGAACTTTCTTCTCAGAAATTTCCAGTCACTTGAGCATCAGCTAAGTTGTAATAGAATTCGAAAATGCGAGTCAACATTAATATTACGTGACATAAGAGTCATTAAATAAACAGAAGTCAACAGAGAGGTACGCGAGGTTTCTGAATTTAATTCATGTACCGGAGAGCGTCATAAAACAACTTCAGATTATTTTAAATAGTTGAAACTCAAGATAAAAACATCAGCTATATAAACTAGCCAGATATAACCAATCACTCATCTCCAGATATCACAGCCCTCCTTCCGAAGCTGAGAGTATCTTTAGCTGTTCAAGAACCGCTGTCCTGCATTACGAAAGCCAGTGGTCCATTAAACCTTCTCCACAAGAACCTTACACTGGTCCCTAAGCCACATAAATCCAATCCATACATTCAATCCATTTTTATAAGAACCACATTAATATTATCTCCCCATTGAAGTGATTTCATTCCTTCACGCTTTCCAAAAAAAAATTGACATAAATATTTCTATATATTATTTAAATCTTGTCCGTCTAATCACAATAAATTCTTATTAAATATTAAAATATTACAATAATTAACATTTAAAATATTTAAAATATTAAATGATGTTCTTTATCGAAATATTCTATGATATACGATATATAATATGATGGTCTAATGTAAATCGAATATTTCGATAGAGAACATCATTTAATATTTTAAATATTTTAAATGTTAATTATTGTAATATTTTAATATTTAATAAGAATTTATTGTGATTAGACGGACAAGATTTAAACAATATATATTTATTATATCACAATATGACGCAACTTTACGATCTCATAAATATTTCTTCTCCTTCATGCACGCCCATCTCATTCTGCTTGATTAGATTTCCCAAATTATATCGGGTAAAGAGTAATTTTCGTGTAATTCATCTTTAAACAAATCCCTCCACCCTCCTGTAACTTTATTCGTCCTAGGTCCAAATATTCTCCTCGGCACAATATTTTTGGAAAATATCAATCTGTGATCTCCCCTCAGCGTGACGGACCAAGTTCCATACCCATCACAAACAGTTAGAGCGTAGGTTACTTCGTTACTTCTTCAGACAGCAGACGGGAGACAGAAAATTCTGAACCGAATTTAATCTACTCTTAATTTCCACGTGAATGCAACTTTGATTGTAAATGTCGTTTTCAAAAAATTTTAAATTTGCCAATTTTTTTTAATGTCGTTCTCAAAAAAATTTAAATTTGCCAATTTTTTTGACTAATTCCAACATCGGAGGTAATTCAGCATCAAAGACGTAATGTATTTGGTATTTGATTACGAACAGTCGGATTCAGTGAGAATTTTGTGGCTTCAATTTCCCTTCCTCAGGCTTTGACAAAGACTGAACTTCGTCTATGTAACATATACGGGAGCTTTGTCATAATCCGGGAGCCCACGTTGCTGTAGCACCCGTCTGCAGAACGCTACTGTGCCGTCTAGGTCGTTCTGTCTAGAATCTGGTTTGCGACCTTCGGCCGCGCCTGCTAGCCAGGCAGCCGGTCAGACAGGAGCGTAATGAACGATGCGACAAATACGAGGTGCGATCGGAAGGTTTCCAGACTGCGCGTATAAAAACCCGTACACTTATCTCAGGTATTAAATTCATCCATCACCCTCGAAGTAGTTCCCCTGGGAGTGAACACAACGATCCCAGCGCCGCTGCCAAGCCTGGAAGCATCCCTGGAAATCTTTCTTTGTCAGCCTGTCAAGCACCATCTGCGATTCTGCCTGAATCTCTTCTGTCGTCTCAAATCTCCTTCCCTTTAGCTGAATTTTCATCTTTGGGAAGAGGAAGAAGTCACACGGAGCTTAGAAAGGAAGTTGGGGTCGGTTCTTGCAAGATCTTTGAGTTCCTGACAAACGAGAAGTCGATTCTGCTTCTGGTCCTCAGACAGGAGCCTTGGTTTCGCATGTGGAGTTCTTCCTTTAGAATCAGCTGACAGGTCCCATAGCCTATCCCAGCAATGTCGCACAAGTCGTTGATGGTACGACGTCGATCTTCGTGAATGGCCTGCCGAATCTTCGTAACATTTTCGGGCGTTGTGCTCGAAGATGGTCGTCCAGAACGCTCGTCATCATCGCCAGAGGTTGGGCCATTTTTAAAACGTGAATGCCCCACAAAAGTTTGTGCACGACCCATTGCGGACTCCCCAAATGCTTGCTTTAGCATTTCATAGGTTTCCGTAGCCGTTTTGGCGAGTCTTTGGCAAGAGATTCAGGCAGAATCGCAGATGGTGCTTGACAGGCTGACAAAGAAAGATTTCCAGGGATGCTTCCAGGCTTGGCAGCGGCGCTGGGATCGTTGTGTTCACTCCCAGGGGAACTACTTCGAGGGTGATGGATAAATTTAATACCTGTGATAAGTGTACGGGTTTTTATACGCGCAGTCTGTAAACTTTCCAATCGCACCTCGTAGCACGGAAAGGGGTTACAGGAAGTGATCGTGAGACTAATCTTCGATTAAGTGGTTAAGTAATAGTTAACAACTGCAGTAAAAAAATATCGAGCTTAAATTCATGAATACAATTGGGAAATTTTTATACGACCGAGTTCAAAATCCTTCACTAACCCTCTCCTACCTAAAACCTTAAAGATTAAAATATATAAAATAATAAATTTGCGTGTAGTTTTTGAATAGGTGTGAACCTTGGTTTGTTACTGGGACGGGAGAATAATATTAAAATGGAACTTTAATAAATAGGGTGTAGGAATATAAATTGGATTAAACTAACTCCGGACAATGGCCAATGACCGAATATTGCAAATTACGTAATAAATATTCCTTCTCTATAGAAGGCGGGGACTATCTGGTCAACTAAGGAAAGATTAGCTTCGAAATTTTACAAATCTCAAAATCACTTCATACATGCATCTTCCTTAAGAACAACGCCCATTGTGTACGTAGAAGCTCTGTTATCTTTATTCGATGTTAGAGTCTATTGTCTGAAATTTAATTATCATGTTACCCTCTTCAGAGTTTTATAGATTCCATTGAGTTTTATTTGCAGTTGTTAGAGACAATGCCTTCTTCCATAAAAACTTTAGATACATATTTCATATAATTCATGAGGTTTAAACACAAGTTAAACAGCATTTATTAAAACATAACCGTAATCTCTTAAATGTCTTTCTAAAAATTCCTGCTCACTAAATCTTTTAAACGACCATAATATAGAAATAATGTAGCCGTCCGTAATACATTTATTTAAATCCTTCATTATTACGAGGATTCTTTTTGTGGTTACACATATATGATTTAACATTCCATTTTTAAGGACAAAAGAGAATGTACTTAAACTATTATAATGATGATGTATTTAATTCTAAAATAATTCACAAAATTTAAAAATAGAATTTGCATTTCTTGAATGGTGTGTACGTTTTAAAACCACTTGCAAAACAATTAGCTGTTAATCTGTTTGTAATATCGGGATATTGCTAACCGCGGTAAGAATTTGAACATATTTGTATATATTAACTAACCTTCTATTTATATAACTCAACCTATCTTCAATCCTAATTCTTTGTAATAAATACTAACGTGCATACGCGTAAGGAAATGTCAGCGAAGTTCAAGCCAACATTAAACTAACCTCGGCACCAGACGAACGAGGGCAACTAGCCTGGAGTTCCGGCCGCTTCATCTCCGGGGAGAGGCCCACGTATTCATTGGCCGGGAGGTTGAATAAATATTTATTTCATAAACACATATTGCCAGTCAGAACACAAGTAGGAAGAGGGCTTTGTTTGTACATAATAGCCAAATCTGCGCCCATAACTAACTAACGGATTGATTATCCGTAGCTCCACGGTGTAGATTCCTTGTTCAGCCGCTCAAGAAGTTTCCCCACCTGTCACGAAACTCGAAAAAATCACTTCCGTGTTCACAGAAGCACGTATTCGGCCCCAGTCTTGAGCCAGGTCACGTCAGATCAGACCATTTTCCTTACCATCCATTTTAATATTATCCTCCTCCCATTCTCAGGTCCCTCCAACAGTCTAATACATCGCATTTTCCATCTTACATTCGTGCTATATATTCCGCCGATCTCGTCATCATCGATCTGATAACCCTAATAATATTTGGCAAGGGTTACCAACTATTGCAACAGTGATATTAGCATATGCATTACATGTTTCTAAAATTAACATTCACATTGAAACGATATTAAGTACAATATATCACAAGCTAACAATTGAGAACATTTTGTATAGGTCTATAATTCAATTATAGGTTAAGCTACGTACATTTCATATTTCAAATTCAAAGGCTATTATCGAAAGGTCAAAATTTTTAAACAATCACTTTATGAAACAGTAATCCGCTGTCAAAATTTAATAGAACAATAAAAATTATTAATATGTCGGTCGTGTAAGTCTCGTGAAACGCAACACTCAGGACAGAAAGCTTAATCTATCGACAATAGTCTGCAGCTGGTATCGATATTAAATGCCATTCTCATGTCAGTTGTTTGCAATAGATCCATATTCATGGAAATGCACTCCTGTTGAGCTTATGGAGTGAGTAGAATTCAATCTGTTGGATCAGACGGATTCCTGATGGATCACATTTACCAGATAATGTGCAATAATTTGTTTTTTTAGGTCTAATCTGAAAGCGAAAATTTTTTTTAATACCAAGTAGAATATGAGGTTTACAGGGCGGAGAGTCCGAAGATGGCTGTCTTTTGAGTTGTAGAAGTTTACCAGTGTTTCAGAGGTCCTTACTGCCTTCATCATCA